CATGGCAATGAAGTCTGAAATCTTTGGTGGAAAGGGGAAATTCACTCTCAAAAGCCAGAGGGGAGTGACTTATAGACAGAAATCCCCACCCCCTAGTCCCCGATTGGTCTGTCCTCATGTAAATGAAGATTCCACATTCTTCTAGTTTGATTGGATCGAAAGACACTGACCTGATTGGTTATAAAGGAGCTGCTGTGATTGGTTGGTGAAAAATCTGATGGGGATATAGCTGCACAGCTCTGATTGGGTAGGGAAAGACTCAGTCTAGGATTCTAGGAACTCCTTTGTGAAGCACTGGCTCCAATGGCAGCAACACAGTGCAGGCAGGCAATTTAGTGCAGAGGCAGGTAGTTCAGTTCAAGCTTCTCCCTGAAGTGCAGCTTGAATGAGAGACTCCTCTGTAGAAATGGCTGCTGTTTTTAGAATGTATGCTCAGCCACCTAGAGACCTTTTTAAGAGGTATCTTCTTTCTCAAGGCCCACACTAGTCATACATTCCGCAAATATTTCTGAGTTCCTGATATTTGCCAGATACTGTTTAAATAAGATAAGCATTTTCCCTCTATATTCTAGCGAGGAAAATAGTTATAAAAATTTCAATAAGTGAATAAATTAATGATATATGGTCGATAAATATGAAGAAGGAAATGTAGAGAGCTGAGATGGTAGGAAAGTGTTCTGTGGGAGTTAAACAAAATATTTATAGTATTCTGTGGGAGTTTCACTTCTAGTTAAGGCATAGATTAGGTTGTGGCCGACTAATTTTCCCACTGTAACAAGTAAAGAAAGAAGGATCAATGTTAAAATCGTGTGTGTGTGTGTGTGTGTTTTAAATAAAAACCTTAATAGAGCCGAAACCAGTTTGGCTCAGTGGATAGAGCATCGATCTGCGGACTGAAAGGTCTCAGGTTCGATTCCGGTCAAGGGCATGTACATTGGTTGCGGGCACATCCCCAGTAGGGGGTGTGCAAAAGGCAGCTGGTCGATGTTTCTCTCTCATCGATGTTTCTAGCTCTCTATCCTTCTCCCTTCCTCTCTGTAAAAAAAATCAATAAAATATATTTTTTTAAAAAGAAATTAGTATTATTATTAAAAAAAAAATCCTTAATGGAGAGGTGTGGACACAAAGAAGTCTAAAGGAGGTAAATCCCATAGGGGGGAGAGCTTTCCTAGGTGAGCAGAACCTAGTGATCACTTCCCTCCATGGAATATATCTCTCTCTGAGTCTGTGCACTGCTAGGCATAAGATCACACCGGCTTAGGTAGAGAGACTCTATTGGAGTGAGGAGGCACCAGTGGAGTTGTTAATGGCTGTCTGCACTGGCTCAACTGTTTGGAATTTGTACAAGTACCAAATGCAGAGCCAGTTCTCCACACCTGACAGTTCTCCCTCTTGGGATTTTTGTGCTGGTGCGCAGCAACTCAGAAGGCTGGGGGCCTTCAGAGAGAGATTTCTGTAGTCCCATGGCATTATCCCAAAGTCCTCCGAGCAGGAGGGACCTATAACAGAGACAGGACAGATCTCCCCCTTGAGGGTGACCTAAAACTCAGCCCAGACCCAGCTTAGCTCCTGGTTTGGTTGAGGTAATCTGTGCCTCACTTTATTTATCAGATAGAAGAAAAGGCTTGTGCTTCTGGCGGAAATTATGATTAATTTCAATATTCTAGAATTCTTTTAAAATCAATGTCTCCATACAACCTAAGTTGTAATTTGCAATGGGAAAAAATGTGACCCATGGACAACTAATTGACTATATTTCAATATTAGCAGACATACTTTTGGCACAGATGTTGACATTAAGAGACAAGAACTTTCAAATAATAACAAATAAGTTAAAGAAATTAAAGGATAAAAAGATGAGTAATGTCAACATAGAAATAGAATCTCTCAAAAGAATGGATTGGACATTCATGATGTAAACCACCCCCCCCCCAAAAAAAAAATCAGAATTGAAGCATTCATTGGATGGACTTAACAGACTGGACACATGGAAGAAATGAAAAGTGAGCCAGAAATCAGGGCAATAGAAAAATCTCTAAACAGAAATACAGAAAACAGGTGGGGGGAAAGGCGAATCTGATTGTGAGGGGTATTTGGGACAGTATCAAATGGCCCAACAGTCCTATTTTTGGAGTTCCAGAGATAGAGGAGAGAGAATCAGATGGAAGACATATTTGAAGAGAAAATGGATAAGAATATACCAAAATTGATGAAAGATTCTAATAGCTCAATAAACTTTTCTATGCCAAGTGAACATATTCATTAAAAATGAAAATGAATTAAAGATGTATTCAGAATCAAAGAAACCTGATGGAATTTGTTGTTCCAGCAGATTCATGGTGCAAAAAAAAAAACAAACGGTAAGGAGAGAGAGAAGAAGTGCATATAGGAAGTTCTCAAAGCTAACGGGGAATGATTTGTTATGGCTCCATGGACATAAAGGGAGGATTAAGAGCACAAGAGAGACTGCTTATTTGGTTTTTAAAAATATTATTAACTTTTAAATAAAAACAATAACAATGATAACTGTTGTGAAATGGAAACGTGAAGAAGCAACATTATGACAACAGTAATATAAAGAGGAGAGAATTATTCTCTTGTAAGTTATTTTATTTACATTGTTGAGGGATTGTAAAATATTAATTAAAGGTAGACAGTAATAAGTTCTAGGTCTCCAGTAATCATTAAAATAGAATACAATTTATTCCTTAAAAGATAACTGAGGAAAATACAATAATAAAAATGTATTTTTAAATACTATTTTGAAGTTATGGTAGTTAGCATGAACTTAAACTCTAATCTTAAACCTAATGGCGTTCTTCCCCAAAATAGTTGCTCAGTAACACATTTGCATTCTGTTTTTATGTAATATTTTCCTGGTATTGTTATGAAATTAAAAAAAAAAATACAAACAGCTGACAAAGCTTAGACTCTATTTATCCTAATATGGTGAGGCATGCAACGCCATATTAAAGCTCATCGAAGTGTTGAGTGAGCCTGAGGATCACAATTACTCGTGTGTGATACTTCAAAAATGGAAGGTCATGGTCCCTACTCCCTGTGACCAAGGAGGAAATATTTGTCTCCTTAATTTAAAAAGTGAGAACTCTTCCAGCTTATCCAAAAAATGCTGTCTGTGTACTTTGCCAAAAAAGAATAGTTGGTCATTGCAATTAAAGCATTCCTTAGGTGGCTTGTCTCAGATGAAACCAGCATGTTACTCAGATGCTCATGTCTGTATTTCAGGTCTGTCCCCCCCAGCCCTCAGCAGTTTTATGATAATGTCTTCTCAGAATACCCTTTGCCTCCTCACCCCAGTAGGGTCCCTCTACCTATGCAGGTGGTGATTCTGTTCTCCCTGAACTGACCAGGGGTCTCTGTGCTGCAGGTGGATGTCCCACTTCCCCATCCGAATATAGGGTTTCTTTGTGTGTGTGTGTGTGTGTGTGTGTGTTTGTTTTTAGTCCTCACCAGAGGATATTTTTCCATTGATTTTTCAGAGAGAGTGGAAGACAGAGAGAGACAGAAACATTGATGTAAGAGAAACACAGCAATTGGTTGCCTTCTGCACGCACCCTGGCCAGGGCAGGGATTGAGCCTGCGACCGAGGTATGTGCCATTGACCAAAATCTAACCCGAGACCCTTCAATCCATAGGTTGGCACTCTGCCCATTGAGCCAAATCGTCTAGGGCAAGGGTTTGCTATTCAATATTATATATTGTTTTCTGTCACTATCCCATCTCAAAAGGCAACATAATTTTTTTTTTTCCAATTAAGAAATTCTGGTAAAGTACACATGAGATAAAATTTACCATCTTAATTATTTTTAGCTTGTATTAAGTACATTCACATTGTTGCACAACCATCTCCACCATCCAACTCCAGAACTAATTTCATCTTGAGAAAATAAAACTTGGTTCTCATTAAGCAACTACCTATTCCCTCCTGCCCCAAGCTCCTGGAAACTACCCTTCTACTTTCTGCCTCTATGAATTTGACTACTCCAGGAATCTCAACTAAGTGGAGTTTCAAGTATTTGTCTTATTGAGCCTGGCTTATTTCTCTTAGCATCAAGTCTTCAAGTTTCATTAATGCTGTAGCATGGAGCAGAATGTCTTTCCTTTTTAAAACTGAATTGTTTGCATTATATGCCATATTATGTTTATCCATTCATTCAGTGACAGCTATTTGGATTGTTCCAGGGGTCCTCAAACTTTTTAAAGTAGGGGCCAGATCACGGTCCCTCAGAGAACTGGAGGGCCGGACTATATGAACTACTAATTCCTACTGTAACACCTTGGCTGCGCTCACTGCCCAAAAAACCTGGCGGGCCGGATCAGACTCCTCTGCGGGCCGCATGTGGCCCGCGGGCCGTAGTTTGAAGACGCCTGTATGCTGCGATGAACATGGATGTACGAAAAATGTCTTTGAGACCCTGCTTTCAATTCTTTTGTCCTTTTACCCAGAAATAGAATTGCTGGGTCATATAGTAATTCTACGTTCAAAATTTTTAGAAATCTCCATATTGTTTTCTACAACAGCTATACCATTTTACATTCCTACCAACAATGCACAGGGGTTTCAGTTTCTCCACATTTTTATCAACATTGTTTGTTTTTTTTTATTTTTTGTGACAACCCAAATAGGTGTGAGCAGTCAACTTTTTATCTCCTCTGTCATCATCTTAGATCCTTTGCAGAGATAGACTATGTATGTTTTGACTAAGGCAAATAACTTTCTACTTTATGAATATGTGAAAATTTTAAAAAGTCTTTTTGTTGTAAGTCCTGAATGGCCACAGATTCATTATGAATTAGAGAAGATTAAAAAAAAAGAAAAAAGAAAAAAAGAAAAAGGCCAACACTGAGTGGAGATTTTCCCCTCAATCCCCTCTCTTCCTTACTAGCTCCATTTCTTCACTGACTTTAAATCTAAATTCAATTTTGTGATTTATGACATGAAAGAGACTGATTTTAATTCTCAGATATTCTTTCCTCAGAAAATCCATTCCTCGCTGCCGAAGAATTAACAGGATGCTCTCCAATGAATCCCTCCATTCTCCTGCATTCAGCCGCTCCAACTCACAAGCCTCCGTGGACAGCGCCTCCATGGACAGCACCTCCATGGAGGATTTCTGGCGGGAAATAGAAAGCATTAAAGAGAACAGCATGGGAGGGCAGGAGGAGCAGGCACCAGCTGAGGTCAAGCCTGTGGATGGTAAGTGCGAGTTTCCTTTTCTGGTGTGCTAACTTTCTTTGTATGCTCTCTCTTGTTCTGTCAGTAGATAAAACTCATTTCATTAGTAGTTGAATTTAGTAGAATTCAGCATCTCAGCTACTTGTTCCACTGATTTATATCTACTGGACTGACTCAAAGTGGCTTTTTATTTTTTTAAAAAAGAATATATTTTTATTAATTTCAGAAAGGAAGGGAGAAGGAGAAAGAGTTAGAAACATCAGTGATGAAACAGAATCATTGATCAGCTACCTCCTGTACACCCACACGGAGGATTGAGCTTGCAACCCAGGCATGTGTCCTGACTAAGAGATGAACCATGACCTCTTGGTTCATAGGTCGATGTTCATCCACTGAGCCGTGCTGGCCAGGCCATTTCCTTTTAATATGATTCACCAACAACCTTACTGATGCGGTGGGTTAGTACAGAATGGCACAACTTAGGTTCACTTTTGCATTTTCTGTTAAAGGACAGTTTATAATGCAAACGAGCAATAAAAACAAGAAAGAAAATAAATATTTGCCGAGCTAAGATATTGGAGCTGTGAAGCACATTTGAGGCTTTTATTCACATACCAGTGCAGCAAGCATGGTCCAAGACTACTAGACTGATATTTTGACAGGCATTTACGAATCAGTCTAATCTGCTCTTTAGACAAACCTCATTCAGGAATGTCTGTTTAACGTAGCTCCCAAAATTGTATGTGCAGTGGACTTGCTGTTACAAGATGTTGTTATTCTGAATCCTTTATTATTTCTGTATCTCTAATTTACAATAGCAATTGATTCTTATTATGACTAACTTTTCATTTTTTTAATTGCCTTCTGAAAAATTGAAAGAATACCTTATGTTCAGAATAAGGAGAAAGTAAGAGAACAAATAACTGTTGAACCACATACTCTGTTCAAGGTTGTTTTTTATTTTATTTTACCATTTGTCATAACTACATTGATAAAACAATCCTCATAGCTGAGTAAAATTTTTTGTTATCATTATCTCTATTTTGTCAATAATACATTGAAGCCAAAGGGTATCTTAAAACCTTCCAAATCCATGTATCTAGTAAATAGTAGTATTGGGATTTGAACCTGCCTTTGAGTGATTAAAAGCCTTTTTGGATGCTGTTTAAACCCCTATTTTTCTATTATGATTTTAGTTTAAATATTCATATTTTTTCTTCTTTTGAATTGGTAGTCCAGATATAGCTTATATTTAACTGTCTGGCCAAGAAAAAAAAAAAGCAACTTTACTCAATCTTCCAATTAACTTTATTGTACTAGGAAATACTTTAAAATTTGACTTACTTTTAAAAAAAATACAATACAAACCTTTCATTCATTTCAATAGGCCTTTTCTATAATTTGGGAAAAAAGAACAATCTTAATATATTGATTATTGATATTTCTTATTCCCAGATATGCACAGACCTACAGATATACACCTCATCCAATCAGACAGAGAATGTGCTAACACCCTCTCGGTCATGTTATTTTTCAGAAGGAGAACTTGAAGCAGAGTGGTTGCAAGATGTGGGTTTATCAACCCTGATCTCAGGTGATGAAGAGGAGGATTGCAAAGCCTTGCTCTCCACATTGACTCGAACCCAAGCAGCTGCAGTGAAAAAGAGATATAATACTTACACTCAAACCATGAGAAAAAGGAACAAGCAGTCTGTCAGGGATGTCAGAGACATCTTTGGAGTCAGCGAATCTCCTGTGAGTAAGGAATCTCCTGTCAGCAGGTTTGGTTTGGTTGGGTGAGAAGGTGAAGGATGGGAACATGGAAAACGTATCATCCACTAGGTTTTAAAGTAAACTAAAGCAGACAGCACAGTCCGAAATTTTACAAATTTGAAATGTAAGCTATCATTCCTTATCCCATTCATCAATCTCCCTCAACATTCAATGTATTCTTTTTTTCACTGAAGATATAGGATGAATTTTTGGCAACAGGGCAAGTCTTTGTGGGTGGACTACACAGAGCCTTTTACTTAAATCTAAGTGCTGAGTGGAAACAGGTAAAAGAGCCCCAGTATCATAAGCAAGTCTGGGTGGTTTGTTTTAAATGGAGGTGGGGGTGGGAGAGGAAGTAGGGATAGCCTTTATGGTCAAATAAGTTAAAAAGGTAAACAATTGAAAGGTCTGAGCATTAATTAAGTAGGAGGCAGGTGATTCATAAGAAGCATAAGGGAAGCATGACGTGTCGTGAGGAATGGCTGGTTGAAATTCCACCTTACCTGGGAGTTCCAAGGACACACTTTTACTTCTGAGGTTGTGAATCAGGTTCTCCTATTTCTATGTTTGTTTCATGGCAAGCTCTGCCTTACAACTCATTCATTCATTGCATCATTGCAATGTTGTATCACATCATCATTGATGCAAAAAATAGTTATTGGACACATTACCTGTGCAAGGTCTTAGATTAGGTTCTATAAGGATGGGATTCTTAGAACCTGGAGGGTGATTAGTATATAGATAAAAGGAAACTTGATATTCTGCTGCAATTACAAATAAATTTCCCTGGGCAAGTTAGTTCATCATCTGTGTTAGGTTTTTCATCTGTGTAATTGTAATATCAATAATGACATCAATTAAAATTTCAAGGATTTTGGGTAGCAAGCATAGTTGAAGCCAGTTTACAATTTGAGTTACTTTAGGTTGTCTATGTCATATCTTCCCTTAGATATATTTATCACATTGGCTAGTTGCCACGGAAGCTCACATCTACTCCATTAACCTTTGCATTTGTGCTAAGAATGTCCTAGAGTAGCACTATCATGTAGAACTTGCTATAGTGATAGAAATTATCTGTTTCTGTGCTGACCAATATGGTAGCCCCATTTACATGCAGCACCAGCATTGGAAATATGGCTGGTGTGACTAAGGAACTGAATTTTTATTGTTATTTCCTCTTAATTGACTTAAATCTAAATAGTTACATGTGACTAATAGCTAATGAATTGAATAGCACAGTTCTAAAATCCACACACAGCCACACGTGGAGTGCACCTGGGGCAGAGTGAACAAGAAGGGCTGCAGGCGGCAGGCTGAGTAGTAATGAGGCTGAGGTGCTTGCTACCTGGTTCCCATGAGAGGATGTGATTGGCTTGTTTGTATAATTTCACAGCTGGCAAGGAACTGAAACCCACCACTCAGGGATAATGAGGAAGGATGGCTGGTACCCTGGATAAGGATCTTTGTCTGGCTGGGGTGCCTTATCTGGGGGAGCAGAATGGGAGGGGAAGTTGTGGTTAGGCCATGTATGGCCTCCCCGAGTTTTCCAGTGGTCAAGGCAACACTTAACAGTGGGCCTTATGATAGGCCTTAAGCCACACTGATACCCCACACCTAGCCATGGACTCTCATGAGCAGTCTGGATTTATTTTATTTCTTTTCTCTTTCATCGCTTTTATTTCATCATTTTTATTTATCACTTTTATTTCAATTTCTTAAAGGTCTTATCCCCTTCTTTTAAAGGGTAATCAAGGGGCCGGTGTAGTGCCAAACATATGAAAAAACTTTTCCCTGAGATGGAAGAGGACATTTAAGTTTCACTCCAGCCACACCAAGTTTATAGAATGAGAAAGCAAGTACAACTGACCCTTGAAGATATAAGTGAACCGGGCAGTTCCAATTTCTGTTGTTAAGGGTCAGTTGTACTGGTCTTTCTCACAGGAGGAGACCTAGCATCACAGAATGACTACAGAGAATAGTAAAAAGTATTAATTCGCATAATCACATATAAAATGTTACATCTTCTTGGCAGATTGTACGTTTTTTTTTTCAAAATAAGAATTTATTGAACAATAATGCAGTTACAGATATTACAGCAGGAATAACCAGAGACAGCTAGTAAGAGCACAGAAGTATGGGGTAAATCTGTCCTAACATGCGGTCTATCTTTGTAAATGATCCTGTGTACTTGAGAAGAATGTGTATTCTGTTGCTTTGGGGTGAAATGTTCTGTGCCCAATGAAATCCATCTGATCCAGTGTGTCCTTTAGGGTCACTGTTTCCTTGTTCAGTTTTGGTCTGGAAGATCCCTTTCTAGGCAACTGATTCTATTATATTCATCAGTTTATTCTGTTCATCAGATTTTTTATTCATTTGATTTTTAGATTCACATGTTGATAGATATCTATTTGTTGTTCATAATTTTTATGTTTACCTTTTTCTTCTTCCTCTTCTTAAAGAATATCTTTTAGCATTTCATATAATACAGGTTTGGTGTCTCTGCTTCATTTATCTCTTCTTCTGAAGAATACTCTAGTTCTTTCATTTGGGGGTTGTTTCTTTGTCTCCTCATTTTGGTTATTTTGGAGTTTGTGACTGTGTATCAGGTAGATCCCCTATGCCTCTCATTCTCTAGTGCAGGACAGTGTTAAAGGCTGTTTCTGACTCATTAGATCAGGCAAAGTGAGTCAAAGCCTCCAGAGACTGCCTCTGTTGATAGCATTCCACTTGAATTGCCCCCCAGACAATGGTCCTCAGGTGTGGCCAGAGTTTTTTCAACATAGTAGGGCAGTTGCTTCTGCCTGGATGCTAATTGTTATTTTTAGTCTCTTAAGTGGCCTCAGGGGAAAGTGTTTCCAATAGGGTGGTTGACTGTCTTCCCCAAAGCCAGGCAAATATCTGTGTGAGAAGGATGTCCTCTGTTGCCTGTGGGAATGGCTCTGCCCAGGAAACTGGGGGTGTCTTCCTTCTGAGCTCCAACCTCTCCCCTCCCCACCCCACCTCTGGCCTAGTGCCCAATCCTGGCTTCTACTTAATGCAGCTCCAGTCCACTCTGCCCTCCCTCTGCAGAGCACAAGGTGGGCAGCTCCACAGGGAATTTTGTGTGTTGGCTCTTTAAGAGGGTACCTGAGTTTTCATTTGTCACTCCCTAGCAGACAGCAATCCTGCTGCTTTTCATAGCCAGATGTTATGGGTGTACCCTTCTCAGTTGTGATGCTGTCTGCCAGGGAGCCCAGCTTGGGGATTACATCCCAGAGTTCTCAGTGGCAACCCCCCACAGTTGTGATATTTCTCTGGAACTTCAGTTGCTGTATCTATGTGGTTTCTTACATCCTCGGATATCAGGGTTCTCTCCTGTGAGTCTTCTGTGGATTATTCTGGAAGTTTTTCTGTATTTTAGTTGTAATTCCAGTTTGTTCCTGAGAGCATGTCGGTGCAGCATTCACTTACTCTGCTGCCATTTTCTCCAGATTGGAACTTTTATCCGTTCAGCATATCTGGCAAGAAATATCTCTGGATACTAAAATTTCATATCTAAAAGCTTAAATCCTAACTTGATGAGTATCAAAATGCTAGGCCTTACGCCATTTCTTTAAAATATTTGTAAATATTAATCTATTTGCATTTACATATAATGTTATTGTTGAGAAGTCTAATCCCTCTAAATCTTATTCTAGTGTTTATATTCTGCTTTCATTTTCATATTTCTGGAAACTTTTTAGGTTTATTATTTTTGTTGGAGACCTGGACTGTCATCAGGATATGAATTTTTTTTTCCTCATTCTTATCAGCACTCAGTTTTTTGTTTCTGAAAAATGTTCCTTTCAACTCTGAACATTTCTATTCCCATCATTTTTCTATTTTATTTTTTTCATTTTCTCTATTTTTCATTTAATTGCTTGCATTTAACTCAGATCTCCTAAGATTTCTTTTAAATTTTACATCTTTTTTCCCCCCTGTTTGTTTTGTATGCTAACAACAAAGATTTTTGTCTACATCATTTTGTAGACCCCTAATTCTAATATTTGCACTGAGTGGTTATAATTTAATTAGTATTAATTTTTAAACTCAATTATTTGTTAATTCAAAAGAACTCTTCCTTTTTTACTGATTTCTTCTTTATTGTTATAGATAATTCCTGATTTATGGATACAATAGCCTCTCAAATACCTCTGAAATTTTAAAATCATTATAAGCTGCCTTCTTGTCTCTCAATTATCTCTTTCTCCCAGAGTGTTTATATCACTATATGTCTTTTCAAGATACTAATTTTCTCCATGGCTGACTTTTTAATGTTGATTTTCTCCAATGAAAACTAATTAATTAATGACTTAGGGCAGTGGTCAGCAAACTCAGTCAACAGAACCAAATATCAACAGTACAACAATTGAAATTTCTTTTGAGAGCTGTACTTTTTTTTTTTAATATATATTTTATTGATTTTTTACAGAGAGGAAGGGAGAGAGATAGAGAGCTAGAAACGTCGATGAGAGAGAAACATCAACCAGTTGCCTCTTGCACACCCCCTATCAGGGATGTGCCCACAACCAAGGCACACACCCTTGACTGGAATCGAACAAGGGACCTTTTAGTCTGCAGACCAACGCTCTACCACTGAGCCAAACCGGTTTTGGTGAGAGAGCCATACTTTTTAAACTTAAACTACATAGATAGGTACATTGTTATTAACTTAATCAGGGTACTCCTAAGCTGGCCTTTGCTAAAAACTCAAGGGGCCAAAGAGCCACAGCTTGTCGACCACTGGCTTATGGTATGTCACTGCTATATAATTTCCTGTCATTGTATAGCTATTTTCCCAATTAACTCTTTTTTGAATAAGAGGGAAAACTTTGGATTCTGTATGTCAATTAAGTATGAGAACCATGTATAAATGGAAGTTAACAGCTCCTGCATTAGTACACACAGACACATATTACACACACATACACATACATACACCTCTCTCTGTCTCTCTCACACACACACACACACACACACACACACTCACATACACACACACTCACACACACACACTCACACACACACATACACACACACACACACACACACACACACACACACACCCCTTTAGTGCCAAAGGGAGAATGGTGAAGGACTTCATTTTCTCTCCTAGACAAAGCTGATGTTTTTCTTTTCTTTTCCTATCCATGCCTTTTGTGGAGATTCAGAGATACCTGATCAATGAAAGTCTTCTTTGGTCCCAGCCCTGGACATCTTACCAAGGCAGGTAGCTTACTTCATTCACAGTGTCTTTCTTGGGTTCATACATAGCTCCTGCCTGCTGGTCAGTACAAAGGGCTGCTGGAAGGTTAGCCTGGCCCCTCCGTTCAGAAAACACTTTACAGGAAGTTATCCTGGCCATTACCCTGGAGCCCCTTACTGCCCTTTAATATTTTCACTCTGAGCTTTGTTGTCTACTTGCTTTTTGTGGATCTGTTCTTTCCTTGCCAGCAAGATTGTCTTATGCTGTTCTGAGTCTGAGAAATTTTGTACAGTTATGTAACAAATTACTTACTTTTTACTTTCCACTCTCTAATTTTGAGTGATTGGGAGTGGTGCACCCTCAGTCCTTCATCCTCACCTAAGTTTTCTAGTAGTGCCTCCTTAGCATTGTTCCCACTTCAGTATAGGTATGTGCTTTTGTTATTAATGCAATGCATATACTTTTGGAGAAAGAAAATACAGAGAAGCAAGATGAAAAAATAAAAGTTTCTAAGGTCTCATATAAAAGTTTATGATTTTATTAACATCCTTTATATTTAATTTTGCAAAAGTTGGCTTTCATCAGGGAATAGAATATTTTCATATTATTTTGGAGAATGTCATTGTATTGAAAATGCAGTTAAAAATCTTAGAGCATAAGCAAGAGACCTACAAAGCAGCCCATGACTGTCAGAATAGACTCCAAATACATTTCCTGCTTAATGAAAACCAGAGCGTCTCCAGTGTTCTGTGACTGAGAATGAAATATTTGTGTAGGTCATATGTGCTTGTGAGATAATCTAATGTATTTTCAATCTTACAAATGAAAAAAACTGTCTATTCCCGCTATTCATTTATAAATCATTGCAAAATATAGTCATGATGTCTGATATTAAAGCAACATAATTTTATCACTAAGTTGCATGACTTATAACTACAATTAGAAGTTCATTTTCATTAAAAAATAAGAAATCTGTAGTTCTGAAGTTTCATAAGGATCTGCCCTTTATTTCATTTATTCTGGTCACAGATTCCTTTTCATATTCATCTTTCTGTCTTCAGTTTTTGGGGACTGTCTTCTGTTATGTCTTCCTTTTCCCCACATTTTCTATGTCCCACTGCTTTAGGACACAGATTAGATGGTTGTTACTTTGCTTGAATTATATTTCAATATCCCACAATTTTTTTTATCACGTTAGTTTATTTGCTTTGTGTTCTAGATTTCTTCTTTATGTTCAAATTAGTAATATTTTTCTTGGTTGTTTTTGTATTATTTTTAGCTGGTCTCAAACTTTTTATAAATTTTAGCAAGATTATTCTTATTTCCAAAGAACAACTTTTTTCTCTCTGATGTACTCATTAGTATAGGTAGGCATAGGTTTTTAACTCATAGCATTGATCCATAAATCACTGTGAAGATAAGAATTCAATTATTATAAGGAATCAAATTATTCTGATGTGTTCTTTTTGTTGAGGTATAATTTACAAACAATAACTGCATAATTTACAATAACTATATAATTTACAAATAATAACTGCACTTTAGGTATATGATTAAGTTGTTTAACAAATGTTTGCACCCAAGTAACCATAGTCAGCCAAAATATTAAACATTTCTATTCTCCAGAAATTTCCCTCAGACCCTTTCCAATTTATTGTCCTCCCATTCACAAAGATCACCAGCCAATCAGGAGTGAGTATGCAAATTAACCCAACAAAAATGGCGGCTACCCAGGCCTTCTGCAAGGCCCCAGGGGCTCCAGGCCTCTGGGCAGTGTGGGAAGGCCGAAAGGCGGCTCTGGGCTAGAGCAAAAAGACAACTCCAGGCAGAGCGAAGGCAGTGCTGGCAGCCAGGAGAGGGAAGGCCCATTCTTGCACGAATCTTCATGCTTTGGGCCTATAGTTATAAATGTAGTAGGCACTTTTATATCTGGCTTCTTTTACTCAAAATAACTTTTAGATCCATCCACTTGTTGCTTGTATTAGAAGTTTGGTATTATTATTACTACTAATAGTTCATTGCATAAATATACTACCTGTTGATGGACATTTGTGTTGTTTCAAGGTTTGAGCTATTATGAGTAAGGTTTCCATGAATATTCGTGTAATATGAAGATTTGTATATTCTCATTTCTCTTGGCTAAAGATGCAAAGTAATTCATATTTTTGGCAAACAGCCCCATCAATCATAGTTCTTAAAATCTACAAGGACTAATTTCATAACTAAAACATAACTAAGTTCTATTGCTTTTTTTAAACAACAAATACTAGATTTTTTTTTTTATGTGTATCCTAAGTGGAGGATGTTCTCAACTAAACTTTGGTCCTTGTGGTTGAGCTCATAAAGAAAAATAACAAACTGCCATGTAAATATTTTTTTCAGCGTTTCAGTATCAACTAGATATAAATATTTAGTTTTCTCTAGTTATTTTCCAAATGTAAATATCTGTATAGAGAACATGTTAGGTTTTGGAATGTGAGGCAGTAAGTGGTGCAAACAGTGAAATGTCTGCCTGCAATGTGGATACCATCTGGTCAGAGACATGCACATGTCTCCTCAGGTGGCAGCAAGTATCCTCAGGGTTTAGGATTTACATCTAGTGCAGGGAGAACTTCTGATCAAGACTATGGGTCCTGGTTGTTTTCTCCTGTTCAGGTTCCAGTCGCTCCCCCATAGTCCTGTGTATCAGAATCCTATCACAGCAAGAAAGTGAGATGATCCTCCAAACACATCATCCGTGAAAACATAGGGTAAAAAGGGTTCTACAAGGCATATGATACCATCACACTTTCAGGTGGAATTACAGCTCTCCAGGCCCCTACATTCTCTGCAGTAATTAGTTTATGATGGATTAGTGTAGGAAGGGAGAGGGAAAGAGAGAAAGAAACATCAATAATGAGAGAGAATCACTGATAGGCCGCCTCCTGCACACACACACACACACACACACACACACACACACCCCTTATTGGGGATTAAGCCTGCAACCTGGGTATGTGCCCTGACCTGGAATCAAACTGGTAACCTCCTGGTTCATAGGTTGACACTCAACTACTGAGCCATGCCAACCCAGCTTGGCCCATTTTCTTTTTTCCATTTTCTTTTTATCTACAAATATCTGTCAGTTGATATCTTACGGAATTCTTTACTGGTTTAAAGTGCTGTTAAATATCTGTTCCTTTAAAAAATATATATATGTTTTCACCCTGGCCAGTGTGGCTCAGTTGGTTGGAGCATCATCCCATGTACTGAAGGGTGCAGGTTAGATTCTCTGTCAGGATACACACCCAGATTGCAGGTTCTATCCAAGGTCTGTGTGTGAGAGAGGCAACAAATTGATGTGTCTCTCTTGCATCAATGTTTCTCTCTCCCTCTCCCTTCTTTTCTTTCTAAAATCAATGAAAGCATATCCTTGGGTGAGGATTTAAGTATAGATATATAGTTTTCTATCATTTTTAGTGATTTGAGGTGGGAGGGGATATAGTGATTGTGAAGTCACATCTTGACTTGAATTTTTTTTTTTATTCTTGTGCTTTATCTGTTTCTTTTAAAAAAAAGTGTCGTATTCATTTTATAAAGTAATGCATGCCTTCTATAGGAAATTTAGAAAACAGTGTCGAGTAAGATGACTAACATTTTTTAAAAAAAGGCAAAACTATATGTTTTCATAGGTATAAATTATATCCAACTTTCTAATAGAAAAGAATATTCCAATCTTAAATTTCAGGAAAGCCATTGTACACTGAAGCAAAAATTTCTTCGTCCCAGCTTTATAAATTAAAAATAACTTGATGCTATTGCTACTGAATTTTAATCTCTGAAAAAGGTCATTTTAGTATCTGTTAAAAAAAAAAAGGGGGATAAGTTAAGTTTGTGTTTGGCTGTACGTAATAGAAAATGAAGAGTTGCTTTGCCTCACACAAAGGGATGTGGTCCAAGTGTGACAGAGAAGCCACATAATGCCCCTTAGCATGGACCAACCTCAGGTGACCTTTTGGCATTCTTCCCTGTGGCCATTGTCCTTACTCAGACAAGATGCTTCGCAATTCAGGGCTTTCATCCCTGTGCTGTCATGAGCATACACAAGCTGATCTTACTCTTTTGTTCAAGAAAGCCATAGCTTTGCTGGAAGCACTCTTGGTAAATTACCATTTTACCTCATTGTCCACACTTATCACATGATCACTCTCAGCTGCAAAAGAACCTGGTGATCGAGTTCTGTAGTTTAACACCCAAATCCCTGGAACAAAACCAAGATGTTGCTATGGAAAATGGAGCTTGTGGTAGGCAATGGAAGCGTTTGCCGCAGAGGCCAGTGTCAGAGGGTGTTTAGGCGACTACAATAATGAACCCTGAACAGCTGGATGTAATTGTTTGGGCTCAGGCAGTTGTAACGTCATAGATTGCCACATGTAAATAACTATGTACACAGTGGGATGCACCATCACATTAGAAAATATTTGCCCGAATAAGAATGCACTTTCATTTCTCCATTTAGCCAGATGCTGCTTCTCTCAACAGTACTACCTTGTCAGATGGGTCCCAGGATGAAGAAGGGAAGTTTGCACTTCCCGGGAGTGGCTCTGTGGTAAGTCATCGCGTGCCAAGACAATTGCATATCAGGGCAAAATTGCCAGTTCAAGGCAAAAAGCAGCGGTTTCTTCAAAATAGATAAGGAAAACTGTCAATGACATTGCAAGAAAACTGCAGCTGCCAGTAGACCTAGGAACCTTGAAATAATTAGGAGGAAAGGGACTCAAAACTGAGGAGTGGATATATTTCAGTTTAAAAGAGGACTTCATAAATTAATACCACTGCAGCCAGAAACCAAATGGCGTTCTTTACATCTATCAAGCATGGAGGAACTTTACGAACATCGGTCCTTTTAGCTGAATTCATATGCTCATCACCGAGACCTGTGGATTGTATCATTTTAAGTAGTTCTAGAGTATTTCTACTCCCCTCTTTTCCTACCACTACTTCCTTAGTACAGAAACTTATTATCTTTCTGTATTGCTGAAATAGCTCCTTAAGTCATCTCCTGGATGTTTGTTTATACACTCAAATTCATCTTCCCAAAGCTGCAAGTCTTGCTTAAAGCCCTCCATCCTTCCCCCAACCTCCTAGTTAATATGAAAGCTCCTGGCACAGTCTGCCTCCCTAGCTGACTCTTCCACCCCAGATGTTTTGTATGAGCCCCAACAAAGGGACTGCCTGTGGATCCAGGTGCGCACCAAGCACAAATGGAAGTGGGATGTTTGCACAATTGAGTTGCTAAGAAAGTTGGTTGGAAAGGCCTTGTTTTTGAGGCTTTTCCATGGCAGTTCTGTGACCACAATTTTATTTGTACTAGGACTGATACTAGTCATGTTTTTTTCATTTTTTTATTCTTTTCTGCTAGCTTCTCCATTCATTCATACATTCATTATTTTAAAAATCCTTACTGAGTACATATCGTCTGCAAATAGGATTCTTGAAAATTTGAGAGTGTTAAAGAGATAAATGATCTTTTGTTGGAATCATAGACCTTACTGGGGTAGATTACTTAGATATTGGTTTTATTTTCATTTTGTTTTCTGAAAACTGATTTAATGCTGATAATGACATAAGTAAAAGTTCCGGGGAAAAAGAAATCTCTTTGGCACCAGTCTCCAATGTGACTGACTTTGGTTTGTTACTCGAAATATCTTTACTGCCGAAACCAGTTTGGCTCAGTGGATAGAGCATCGGCCTGCGACTAAAAGGTCCAGGTTTGATTCCGGTCAAGGGCATGTACCTTGGTTGCGGGCACATCCCCAGTAGGGGGTGTACAAGAGGCAGCTGATCGATGATTTTCTCTCATCGATTTTTCTAACTATCCCTCTCTCTTCCTCTCTGTAAAAAAAATCAATAAAATATATTTTTTTAAAATATCTTTACTAAGAAATGTCCAACAATTGGTTATTTGCTAGAGTAGCTCACAGATGCCAACTTAATTCTTAATGCACCTGTATTGAAAATCACTCTAGAACATCTTACCAAGAGGTAAACGCATTTTGCTTCCCCTGCTTTTTGGTTATAAGAGCTACAGGCACCCTAGTTTGGTTCCCCAGGCTTTTTAGATGGTGGGATTTTCAGTAATTCAGTGAAGTGGTGGCATGGGCTTCAGGGATCCTGGCATGACCTCTGTAAAGGTAAATCTCACCTGCCTAGATACGTTCCCAAGGACAGTTTGCTGTCATTTGCAAGACTACAGAGACTCCTGATAATTTGCCACATAAAAATTTATGTTATGGAATTGTATAAAGTAGGTAACCTAACTTGATTTTTTCCAAAGGATAACCTTGGCTTGACCAATTTTTTTTTGTCTCTTATTTTTTCTATACATCTGAAATGAACCTCCATAATATATTAAATATCTATAAATACAGGGTTTATTTTGATTACTATGACTTTATAGTTGGTTTTTAAAATCTAAATTCACTCTCATTCTGCATCAAAATTTTCTTTACTCTTCTTAGAAATGTTTTCTTTTGGAAGAACTTAGAATAAGACTATTACTCCCCATTAAAAAGAAATCTTGTTAGAACTCCACTGAGAATTTTATTGAATTTAAAGATTAATGTCAGGGAAAGAATTCACATCTTAAAATATTGTTTCTTATTGAGAAACAATGATTGTGTCTTTCCATTTATTTATATCATCTGTCCCTCAAAAAAACTTCATAATTTTCTATCTTACATTTTTTTTTCCTCACACACCTTTTCACTGCTTAATTACTAGGAACTTAATAGTAATATTCTTCTTTCATATTTTAAATCCTAGGATTTTTATGATATCTTCTAGTTTGTTTTTGCAGATATATAAGGAAATTAATTATTTTGTTTTTTTACAAAAATAACTTATAGTTTCCTTTCTGATTTTTTTTTTTTACTTTTAAGAAATTTTCATTTGACTTTATAATTTGCACAGATATCATTTGAAATACTGAAAATTTTATTTACCCAATTTATTTTTTCTTTTCCTTGTCTGACTGACTGACCACAGTCACTTATAACAATGAATAATAATTATGGAGCTCTTTAGGTAAGTTTTTATTTTCTTGTGATATTCTACTGTTTCAACATTAACTAGAATATTCTAGGTTTCATGCTTCTTATCAGGAATGGAAGTTGAATTCTATAAAATGATCCTCATCTATTAAATGAATATATAATTTTTCTTATTTAAGCAATTACTTCAGGAAATTACAGTGATAGGTTTTCCTAATGTTGAACTCTAATTTTGTTGCTTAAATAAATCCTACTTATGTGTTATATTATTTTTTTATTATACTATAGAATATGATTTGCTACTACTTTAGCATTTTTAACCACTAGTCTAATATGTGGGGTTAGTATGTGTACATGTGTATGTGTGTGTAATGTTTTGTTATTGTTATCAGAGCTATGCTATTCTTGATACAAATAGATTGTGAACTTCTAATGTTTTTCAATATTTGGTAGTATTTTATAGTGAAAGAATTAATATGTTAATGTATTAATACTAGCTAACTCTTATATAGTGCTATCTACTAGATATTGTTTCATGTGATTTTATATAGGATAAGTCATTTACAATTCATAATAACACTTTAAAATATGTTCTGCTAACATCTCCATTTTATAGATTAGGAGACTAAGCAATAGGGAGTTGTAGTACCTTGCTTAAAGTCACACAGTAAGTGGTAAAGCCAGAATTAAAATTCAAACAGTCTGGCTCTAGCATTACCTTTAGTAACACCTAACTATGTCATGATTAGAGTTTATGAACAAAATGTGTGACCAAGTGCATCAAGAATAACAAATGTGGCTCAGTGGTTATTGTTGGCCCATTGTACCAAAGGTCTCAAGTTCAATTCCTGTTGAATGGCACATACTTGGGTTGCAGGCTTGATCCCTGGCCTGGTTGAAGCACATGTGGGAGGCAACCAATCGATGTGTCTCTCCCACATTGATGTCTCTCTCTCTCTCTCTCTCTTTCTCTCTCTCTCTCTTTTTCTCTCTCTCACCCTCCCTCCAACCCCCATCTCTCCCTCCCTTCCACTCTCTCTAAAAACCCATGGAAAAATATCTTCTGGTGAGGATTAATAATAACAACAAAAGAATAACAAATACTGTGTCCAGTGTGGCTCAGTTGGTTAGAGCATCATCCTGTGCACCAAAAGGTGACTGGTTTCAATTCCCAGTCAGGACACATAGATTGCAGGTTCAATATCCTGGTGTCGGGTGTGAGTGGGAGGCAACTGAACGATGTTTGTCTATCACATCAGTGTTTCTCTTTCTCCCTTCCTCTCTCTGAAATCAGTTTTAAAAATACTATATTTGTCAAACTCTGTGACATTAAGCAATGTAATATCTATGTTTTGGAAAGATATAAGCACTAAATATTTAAGAGCTAAGAAGATGCACTTATTTTAAACTTGACCTAGTTCTCTTTTGAGTAACTGTGTGGGCTGTACAGATCTGAACTGAATGAAGAAACAAAGGAAATTAGATGCAGGCTCAATAATTTCTTTTAATTCTCTTATACTACTGAACATAAATTAGACTGAAATGTAGGGTAGACAGTATTGATGGTAAATGTTTTGTGTTCATCTTCCTTGTTTCACAGTCCATCCTTGAGACTATTCCAGATATACCAGTTCATTCCAATGGATCAGCAGGCCCTGGACAGTCAGTCCAGAATTCCGTGAGCGGTGAGTGACACAGCCTCCTGCTGAACTTAAGCTACGTCTTCTCATTTTTGTGCTGGTGCTCCATAAAGTTAGCAGTGAGTTTCTAAAAGGGAAATGTAGGTGTTATTCTCCCCATATTGATTCTGCCACTCCTGCATGCACTCCTTCCTTCTCCCAGCACCCTGTTTTGTCCCACCAGACAAAATTAATAAAGACAAACTGAGAGCAGAATCTTTTCCTTTTTGCTACCATCACATCATTTAGAAAACACTGGCTTGGGTAGTGTCTTTATTTTGGGGCCTCTGTCACAAATAATCTGGATTTTTTGTGATTTGTTGGAATCAAAACGATGCTTCCCCAGTAGCAGCAGCTGTAGGTCTAGATGGACTTAATTTTAATATCATGATAATATATAGAAATATGCCATGTTTGGACTTCCTCTAGAATCCTCAAGGCCTTTTATGAGACAAAAATCCAAAATTGAAAACATCACACTACATAGAAAATTTGTTTTGATAATGATTATATACTATGTTCTGGGTCTGACACCTTTCTCTGGATGTAAACATTCTAACATGCTTATGGATTAACTTGTAAATAGTTTGTGCTTATTTTAAAGTAAATGATATTGATTGATTAAGTGGCAAATTAAATATTCTACATCCTTTTTTCTTAGATGATGATTATCAGGTAAAGAACATTCCACCTGAGGCTGAAGAGCTGTCCTTTGAAGTATCTTACTCAGAAATGGTTACAGAGGCTCCAAAAAGAAGTAAATTTAAGAAGTCGGATTTTAAGAAAGAAGACTATGTTTTTACTGTAAGTAAAAGCTTTTATTGTTATTCCACTAGCTGCCTGTGACTTCTACATGGCACAAACTAGAGTTTTTAAAAATTTCTTTGGCTGTGCATAGATGTAGGGAGAAGCCAGGCATCAGCTCTGCATAAACTCAGGGCGTTACTTGCTGTGCAGTGAAGCCTTCCTGGTGTCTGCTAGCAGCCGTGGGTTGAGGAAGAGTTGTGAGGGTGTGTGTGCTTGAATACTGTTGCAGAGATGAAACAGGCTTTCCACCTGGCTGTGTGCTTCATGTACTTTGTGTCCTTACTTATAGGTTAATGCAGATCCTAACAGTACTCATATACCTACTTGTGCCTCTAGAACCACATATCACATGGGAACATTGCAGAAAGTCATAGTCATAACACCAAGAAATGAAAGCTTATAGGACAGACACTAAAAATTAATCATAAAACAAAGTCAGGAATTTATAATTTTATTATGGATGGGCAAGAAGTGCTCTGTACTTCATTATCCTGAAAGCCTCATTATGTCTAGGATATTCTATCCTGATAGCCCAGTACAGGAACTATGTTACATTGATCTGCTTGCTATTTAATAAATGCATTTGAGAAGAGTTCATGATGTGGAGTCCTGAATTTCTGTGCTGACCATGGCAGGCAGTGTGGTGAGCAGGGCTCAGGTAGTTTCAGAGCTAAAGGAATGTGTCATCTAGAAACAGGTGGTCTGCCCCAGGAGGCCTGGGTCATTCCCAGACAAACACCCCATGACGGAGAGGAAGAAGAGGGCAGGGCAAGAACTGTAAGACTCGCTGAGTACCTTCTATGGGCTTGACAGGGCACTCGGTATTCAGCTGTAATCTTCTCTGTGATTTGTCCCATTTTTCAGCTAAGGAAACTGAGGCCCAAAGAAGCTAAGTAGCCCATAGCTAGTAGATGGCAGAAACAGGATTTGAACTGATGAGTGTTAAACTCCAAAACCCTCTTGGTCTCTAAGCAGCCTCTATGGTGAAGGGCACAAGGGCGTTCTAGAGCAAGAGGAGTCCGGTGGAACTCTGGTTTCATGGGGAGTTCCTCAGCATCTTCAGAGAGAGCTGCCCAAGGGAGGACGCTTGCCCCCATTCCCATCATCCCAGTGTGTGTCTCCTCCTGAAGTTTTGCACACACAGGGGAAAGGAACTTTGCCTAGGGTTTAACGTGCAGTCATTGCTCAATAAATGATTGTGGTTCCTGTCTATATTGTTCTTGTTATGTGTTGTAACATGGGACCTTGGTCTCAGAAAGAAGATAAAATAACTAAACATTTAATAGCACAAGTTATGCCCCAAAACACATCCTAAAATTTATTTATTAACTTTTAAATACTTGGAGTTCCAATGAATAATTGTTGAATGAATGAGTGAATGAATGAATTGGGTGGATTTAAAACCCCAAGGAAGCTCTAATTTAAGGAACCCCTATGTAGACTATGTACCTAAAGCTTTGTAATTTAAATAACTAGTATTTTTCTACTTAAACTTTTTTCCCCCCATACTAGGTTTTCTGAGAGCAAAGTATTTGTTGTACACTTTATATCTATACTTTTATATTATACTTATATAATTATGTTAATTACATATTACTTAATACTTACATTTTATTATTATTATATAATATTTATAGCAATACTTATATATTAATAAAAACAATATTTTGCTTTTTAAAGGTCTTCTTATAGTCTTTACAATATTTCTGGATTGTTGAAGGTTTTTTTTTGTTATTTTAGTATGTTTTGCTTTCTAGTATAGAAATTGAGAAAATAACAATATTATTGTCTTCAAAGTGATAGTAGGATTATTTGGCACTTTCTCTGCATTTTTCTCTTCTAAGACTATTTGGAATCACCTAAAATTTATTTTGAAGGTAAAATAACTACTGTTTCAGCAGCATGTATGATCAGTTTCAATTTGGAAATTACAGTATTTTAAACTATGTAGAACAGATGATGCCTGATTTAAGGACTGATAATTCAAAATGAAATGTATATTGAAAGCTCTCTGGGGAGTGCCTAAATGATGTGTCTGTCTGCCTGTCTCACACATGCCCATGGTGTGTACATTTCATGCGATGCCTGGGATGTTTGCTATTGCCCATATAGGAGGGTCCTTAGAAGAAAGCAGTTTTTACAGCTGGGATGATGATATTAGATATTATAGTATTCTCAGACCATTGTTTTGCTTCACATTTAGCATAGTAGTAACCTGTAAATTACATTCATAATGCAACATGCTCCTCAGAGATTTTTTTTGTTTTGTTTTGCAAATAGTATATATATTATAATGTCCAGGTGCATTTGAGTGAAAGCATAGTAATTTTTCTTTGCAATAAAATATAAATATCCTTATATTTATTTTAGAAACTTGTTGTTCAGAAAACCAGATTTGGCTTAACTGAAGCAGGGGATCTGTCTTCAGAAGACATGAAGAAAATCCGCCACCTCTCTCTGATTGAGTTGACGGCCTTTTTTGATGCCTTTGGAATTCCACTGAAGAGAAACAAATCAGAGAAAGTAAAAGGAAGAGGTAATTAAGAGGACTGGTTTCTTCTGAATTTAATGCTTTGACACCTTGGAATAAGATCGTGTTTTTTTCTGATTCTTTTTTCTTTCTCAATTACTTTCCAATGAAGACAACGGGATTTTTGGAGTTCCACTTACAGTCCTATTGGAGAGTGACCGAAAGAAGGACCCTGGAGTAAAAGTGCCCCTTGTGTTACAAAAAGTGAGTGGAATATAAATGAACGGGGGATTAATAGAACCTCGTGCTTGCAATTTGCTATTTGTAAACCTGGTAATGGATTTCCCTTTAGCGATAAGGACACTAAAGCTAAGCCCTGTTAGGACTCAGGCCCAAGCCATTTTCAGCTTTCTTCCATGAGGCCCCTGCCATCCCACATGTACTTGGACCAGTTTGCCTTGCGGGGAACTTCTGGAGCCTGTTGACCATAAAGCATCAGGGGATAGATACAGATGCTCTATCGCATGGCTTCCTTTGGTTATATCTGGCTTATCCAATATTTTTAAAATATTATTTGGGTGTATGTATGTATTTTTGTATATTTCATTATTCTGTCTGAGATGAAAGATGACTTAATTATCAGCAACCTATTTATTAATTATATAAATATTTGCTGAGCTTTTTCATAGGTTGGGCATTTCAAAATGTGTATTTGTAATCATTTAGATGAATTTTCCAACAAAGCTTAATAAATATAAAAATCAGCTTGTTAAGGTAATTTTTAGGTGTGACCAGGGAAAATATGAAACAGTTAAACAAAGAGGAAGTTTTTAAGTGATATGATTTGAACTATCATATGCTAATATCTCCCTAATATTGGTGAATGGCACATTTGCTTTTAAGTCATATTTTTAATACCCAATAATTTATATCAGTTTACCTAAGTATGCATTTATTTAAAGGTGACAGCTAGTGGAATAATTAAAATTCCAAGCCCTAAACATCAGTCTTATTGAATTTTAAATTGAGGTTTTAAATATGTGAACACATTGACTGAGGAAATATATGCTTACATTTTTCACAGTAATATAATAATTCTCCATCTCTTCACTATCTTTCTAAATTTTGTTACCACTAACTAAAGTTGAACCATTCCATAAACTAGCTAATAAGTTAGCTGCCCGTGGGAGCAAGGAGGATGGCAGAGGAGCCAGCAACATGCCAGTGTGCATGGGGGAGGTGGAGCATCTGTAGGGTGTCTCTCCTGCATGGGGCTGGGCCAGTGCCTTCCACATCCTGTCACATCTCCTCAGCACTGAGCAGCCAGAGGAGGCTGGTGTTATCATGTCCCTTCTACTGATGAAGCAACTGAGGTAATAGTAGAATAGGGTAATTTAGCCACAAGCAAGAAGTAGATGGGAAAAGGAGCTCAGAATACATCCAAGGCCAAGGTCCATGGTGACTCTAAGATACTTCTCTCTATACCTGCAAGAGCTAGCTTAGTTCCAGGCATTATGTCTTGAAGGAAAAATAGCAAGAGACTCATGTGAAGTTGCGCAAGTATTTATGCTTACCATGCCTCAGTCTCCTCAGCCATAGAATGAGGATTCTAATAGTACTTTCCTCAGCATTATTGTGAGGCTTTAAATGAGTTGATAGATGAGAAGTACTGAGAATAGCATCTAACACACAAAAAACACACTATCAATGTTAGTAGTTATGATGATAATGATTTTAACACCATCACCATGAGAGATCATGAGAGCTATAACCCTTTATAATTTCTCCCTCTTTGATTGTATTTCTAGAGTTGCTATAGTTCCTTAGCCAGAGTGGTTGTAACTAATGATAGTGAGTTTAGAATATTTTTTACTGGCCAGTCTGCAGAAAGAGGTGGTGTAATCAGACCTTAAAACAGTGAAGTGGCAGCATATTTTAGAGGTGAAGAGCACAAGTTGAGAGTGTCAGTGCCATTACTTTGATAGTTAATCTTGGGAAAATGATATAACAGC